TGTTATAAAGCTACAGTAATACGAAAAATATGGAAGAGACATGTTCTTTAATAAAAAATAAAGTTTTGTGATAAAAATTTATCACAAAACATTATTTTTATTAAAGAACATGTCTTTTCCATATTTTTCATATTACTATAGCTTTTCAACAACAGCATAAGCACTGATAATTACTACAAACAGTAAAGTTATATGGATAATACTGCTACAAATATTCTGGTACCTAATTTCCATCTAGTTCAATACCATAATGAGTTGCCAAATATTCCCAGACTGACTTGTTGGTGTTTACTTCCGTCTCATAGCAATTACACCAATGGCATGGAAGCGGTGGAAGTGCCGCTTCCAAGGATGTATTTTCTAAAATATAAAGATATATTGTGTGACTATTTTCATATTTTAACGTACTTTGAATTAATTAAAATTAATATTTTATTATAATATATAAAATAATATATATTATTTTATTATGTATCTTATTACAAATTTCTATACTACATGTAAAAAAATGATAAGATTGCTATTGTATATTNGACATCCTCTGAAAATAAGATTTAGCATAGGTTTTGCTGAATTGCTAAATATAAGGCCTACCCCGAAAGTAAGACCTAGCAAAGTTTTTTTTACTCATAACAGTCATTGACAGATGGTTGAAAGTGGCCGTTGGCTTTTTGAAAGTACAGCCACTGATTGGTCAGCAGACAATCATGCCACACGGCATGATTTGCATAAAACTATGGCTTGGGTATCACAGATTTGCATAACGTTACGGCTGGTGATGGCTAATTGGTTGGCCGGGAATCACATTACATTACATTTGCATAGTGCTACGGTTCAGTAAGCACTAATTGGTCATCAAGCCTGATGTCGACGCTATAAAAATGTTAAGTTGAAGCGAGAGTGGGAAGTCCACTCCAGCACGGGAACTTCGTAAGTTCACTTCGGTTTTATTTAAGTTCAGTTCGACACGACTGGATATATGTCACTCTCATCTAAGTTTGACTTGGGAATATTTTGTTCAATAATAAATGTGAATTCTTCTTCATGGAAAAAATAAGACATCCCCTGAAAATAAGACCTAGCGCATCTTTCAGAGCAAAAATTAATATAAGACACTGTCTTATTTTCGGGGAAACACGGTAACATTAAGTGGAGTAAGTAAATGAGACTACATTTAATGGAAATTCTGATTTCATTCACTTTGATCTTAAAAAACACATATCTAATGAAATTTTATTGTGCATATTTTAATTGTTTTATTATAACTACTAATTAATAGTAATTTGTTTAGTGAATAATAATGGTAACAAATTCTAACAATTTAAAAACTGTACAACAAGCAAATAATTAAAATAATTAACATTTAATATTTAAAGTAATGGTTAAGACCAATAGTTCCAAAAAGACAGCTTAAAAATTCCTATTTACCTGAAGATAATAACTATAACTGACAATTTTGTTATATAATTTTTGTAATATGTTTTAAGTTATAGTTTTTAAAACCTGTTAATTAAAATTACATTAAACAGCTAATAAATATTAGTTTTTGGCAGATTCTACTGTATTTACAATTTTGCACATTAATAACGTTTTTATTTTAGATAGGACAATAAATATTTATTTTCATAGTTCTTAAGTCAATTAATTATGCTGATGAAGCAAAAACTTTTTTTCTTATTGACATTGAAGATTATTATATTTGTTTAAAAGATAAACAATTTATATTAACTGTAAATTATATTTAAATTTAAAAAGCTAAAAATCATAAATACAAATTTATATTATAATCACTTGAAATAAATTTTTAGCATACCATAATTTTACAGTCATCTGCAAAGTTCACTGTAATTAATTTTTAGTAACCACTTTGTTGTAAATAAAATATTATTTTCTATATAAGAAATTAAGAATGAAACAAAATTCCTATTAAAATTTATTTGCTTTATTCAACATCAACATTTTTAAAATGATTCAGATTCTTTCATAATACATATTTAAAGAAAAACTTACAACTTATTTTGTGCTAATTTTGTAATAAAATATGTAGCCATTTTACTATGAAAGTACTGTACATGTGTTTATATAATTATTTATACTCCCTTCCTAACATTTGGGGCAATTCAAATATGATATTTCTTTTATTGCTATCAAAATTTTAATATTGCACAATAAACTAAAGTTTTATTTCATTTAAGTTTGAAATATTTTAGGGGAACAAAATAATTGAAGAAAATATCAAAACTTTAAAAGATATTTTGTTTATTCTTGTATATATATAAATACAAGACTGAGCATAATATTTTCATATAATTGTAAACATTAACTTCAGTAACATTATTAAAATGTTTTTTATTTTTATGCTAAACACTAATATCAAATTTTAACAATAATTCTAAAGTACATGCAAATTACATATGAAAAAATTCAAAAATTATGTGCATGTAATCAATTTTTGATCTTTTAAGATTTATAAACTTGAATAAGCTTTTTATTATATAGTATATTGATTTCAATAAAGTTAACTGAATTCTTTTGATGATTAAAAATTATACTTCTTTGTTTTATATTAAATTATCTGATTTTAATGATGAAAAGTTTTTATTTTCCAAAAACTTAAATGTATTGAACTCAGGATAGAAAAATGTAAAATATCCATAATTGTTTAATAAAACATATTATAAATTGTGTGAATTTTCTATTTCTAAACTATATTAAGATATACAAAAACATTTTATTGTTATATGTGCTATAGATATACTGTTGTGAAAATTTTGTTTTAACATTCATGCCAGTACATGTTTTATTAGCACAAATATTTTCTCTTATTCTAAAAATGTTCCATAATTTATATGTTCAAGTTCAAAATAAGACACCCAAATATTAAATTTATATAAGTAAATCATAATATATATAAATTAAATATATTAAAAGTAGATTAAAGTTGTTATAAGAATATTTCAGTATTTTTGAATAATTTATTCAATTTCATATAATATAAATGTAAAATTAAACTGTTTTCATTCATATTTATTCATTATATATATAAACTATCCACATTAATTTCAAGTAAGAAATATTTTATCCCTATTATTTAAAATTTGCCAAATTATTTTTTCATCACTAATTATATTTAATATTTAGCAAATTTCAAAAAATTTATTCTTGTTGTTAATAAATATAAAAACTTAGAATCAGTTTTGGAATAATTGGAATATTCAGCAGAAATTTTCAGTTTTTGGTTACTCTGTTTTTTATATTAACTTTGGAATAAATGTTGCATTTAATAAAGATGTAAAAGCTGTCTGTTTGTGTGTGAATTCCTTGTAACTCCTGCAATGTTTGTTCAATTCAGATGAAATTTTAGTTATATTTGTTTTATGTTCTGACAGAAAGTATAGACTACTTAATTTGTGGAAATATTATCTGTAGAATAAATGTTTTATTAGTTTCAGATCAGTGATTGCACTTACGTTGCAGCGATGTCTGACGTCATTTAGTTCATACTTGATGACAGAATTTCCCTTAAGTTGCATTTTAAAATATTTTTGCAAATGGCATATTTGCAAAAATATTTGCTTCATTTAATTTAAACTTTAAAAAAAAGATAGCCACATCATGTTGCTTCTATAACAATTAAAAAAACTTTTTATAGTGACCATATGACATTCTATTATCCAACTAAAAGTAATGATCTAACGAGCCTGTTGTTTAAAACGAATAATTGTGCATTAACTAGTCTTTGATGGGCAGTATAAGCTATTGAATTTGTAGAAGTATTAACTACTCTTTTTGAATTTCTTGAAATTTATACTCTTCCCAATACTTCAATTTCTACTTTCTTATAGAAAGTAATGTCATGCTTGGTGGGGAAATTTCTAGTATTTAATAAAAACAAACAAATTTAAAATATAGATTTTAAGCAGGGTGTTAGATATCATAGACTAGCCATGATGTCTAATAGGCTTACACTCAAATTATTCCAAATATATTATCCATATATTGTTTTGAATATTTAATAATAAATTTTTTTTTGCATTTACTAACAAAATTACAAAAATCTTAAAATTCTATATAAATAAATTACACAACTAAAATGAAAGTGTGCATATTGACCAAAGAAAAAAAAAGAAGAAAAATGTTATGTCTGGAAGTCACAGACCAGACAGACATGTATGGGCATAAGCTTTTATCCCATCCCAGTACACAAAAATACATTGGTATACCATCTAAAGACTTGATACTTTTCAATTGCACAGCACTTGATTCAAGCTTTTGCATGTAGATATAGTGGGACAACTTCTGCATCAAAAGACTTTTGTTATATCTACATGTTCATTGTCTAATCAACTTGGCCAAGACCATCAAAACAAAAAGATGTGCAAACTAAACCAATCCATTTGTAAAATAGGAATGACACTTTTTTTGACATGGAAAAGAATATTTAAATGTAAAAAGACTTTTTGGAAGAAGAAAATACTTTTAAGTGGGATGTAGCTTTCTTCCAAGGAAAATTCATCTTTTTTTTAAGACAAGCGGTAATTTAGGAATTGATAGTAATTTCTTTGACATAGAAACCATGGCTTGTCCTTCTAATCACATCACAATCAAAGCAATCTAATGCTATTATTTTCAGAATGTTCTTCCTAAACTGTTTATTGATTTAAGTAAAATTTGGCTCATCTTCACAGCTACTACCCATGAATTTTTTTTTATTGTTGACAATGATACTCCAGCAATCTTACTTATGCAATTTGTAGAATTAGCAACAGAAATGATAAAATTGTCATTTTCAATTTTCTAACAGAATTTAAAGATGTGAAAAATTTTTTTTCATTTCACTGCAAAAGGATTTGTTACATGATGCACCACAAGGCATGTAAAAGCAAGGAAGCATACACAAGAATATGAAAAAAAGAAATCTCATACTAAATTCACTATTAACAACAAGTGCTTTAGCACAACTCCATCTTTCAAGAGAGTTGATAAAATGCCTAAGCTAGTTGAACTATATCGATGGATATTCTAGGTTGGAATGTATTCTTACTAACATCTTGGCTAAAACCTATAACAAAGGCTTTTTATACTCCTTGGATATGTCATTTTTGTATATCTTTTTAGGTTGACATAAACTGGGAATGGCAATTTGAGTTGGATTTTTTTGCTCACTTTTATCTGGAAGCAAGTAATATGATAGAGCATTTTCATAGCTCACTTAAGGCAGTGATATGTTGTCATATAGAAGACAATTGGGTGGACATCCTATCTGTGGTAATGCTAGACTTCAAACAGCATTCAAAGAAGGCTTACAGACCTCTATGGCAGAGATGATGTATAGAGAAAATTTAATTTTGCCTAATGAATTTTTCTCCTTAAACAAACCTTGTGAAGCCTACAACATTCATCATTCATCAGTCATATAAGAGAGAGAATTAGGCAAATTCATTAAATTCAAGCAAAACAGTGGGTGAATATTTCTTTCTTTGTTTATGAAGACTTGATATGACATAACCATGTCTTTTTATGAAATTAGGCACTCACACATTTAAAGCCAGTCTTTGTTGAGTAAGAGCTGGCACTAGTCTCAAAGTCACAATCACCTACCTCAAACAATCAATGCAAGACAATTGTCGTGAGTTGTAGGTGACATATGTATTTCAATGCACAATATGCATAAGATTGTAAATATTTCATTCAATAGTGAGAGAGAGTATAACAATGCTTTGTAAATAAAATTTAAAAAATAACAACAAAAATTTAGGGGGCATACACACCAAAAAATAAAAGCTGAACCTGTCCGGGTTCACCAGCTTTTCATCTTTCAATTACAGTAAGACCCCATTAACGTGGGGGATACATTCCTAGATGACAAAGTGCTAAACGAAACAGCATTAAACGAGGTCATTTTAACACAGAGTAAATAGGGAAAGGGGAACACACCACCAAAAATAAACAGATTTTACTTTAATTTTAAGCTATTTTTATATTAATTTGCATAATAATATATGTTAAATAACATGCAAACATATGCACTCAGAAATGTAAAGTTAATTTTTTTCTGAAATTGTTGTCTTGTGTTTTGCAATAAAGTTGTGTTGAAATATAGTTTCATTAGTCACTATTTTTCTTTTCTTAAGCAAATGTCAGTAGTGGGAGATCGCATCCAAAACGCCTCGTTTTTGTTTTGCACTCCTTTCAAAATCTGGATTGTTTGCTACAGTTTGATCAATGATTTTGGTTATCATTACCAAACTTTTACTAAAGAAATCTATAGCAAGTTCTTTGGATTCTTCGTTTTCAGAATCACTGTTTTTCAGTTCTACACAAATTCCTTGTTCTGCCAGTTCTTGAAGGTCATCATTGGTAAGGTTCTCATCAGAAACCTGTGGTAACTCCTCAATATCCTGCTTGTCTACATCTCCTAGTCCTGCTGTATCAATTAGGTTGACAATTTGGCCAACATAACGATACAGCGATAGGCTCTTTTCTAGTTGAGAATTCTTAGATACCTTCAGTCATAACTTCTTTTACACTTCATTCATGCATTTATCAGTTAATTCTTGCCAAGTGAAGTCGATATTTCCTATGGCATCCATGATGTTATAATTTTTTCCAAAATTGCACCAAAAAAACCTAGATTTAAGGAAAGTACAGTGCTACGACGAATTGCCACCTTTTGCCAATTGGTTTACATTCATGAGTAATCGTATTATATAAGAATCAGTGAAATGCCATGATAATTTGAATTGGTGTAAATTTTGAGTTTTCTTATAAGCTTTGAGCAGACTGCATTATATTGAATCAGAATTAATTGAGGCAGCATTAAGCAGGGTCTTACTGTAGTACTTACCATGTATCCTTATGAATATCATGCAATGTTAGTCAGGTTAAGTTTTTGGGGTTTGTGGAGAATTGTTTGATGTATATGATCATTTTGTAAAATAAAATCCATCTGTTGAATTTCATCATAATACCTTTCCTTCTTTATTATTAACAATATGCAACAGTGTTACACTTCTATATATATACCGTAATACCCCGAACTTACGCAATAGGTGGGACCGAGC